CAAAAAGAAATGTTCCTTTAAATTTACTTGAATCCAAAGTGCTTTTCAAGTTGGAGTTTGACTTTTATAAACAAAGATAATTGTTTCCTCGATAGTAGGAACTGCAGATGCTGGAGAATCTGAGATAACAAGGTATAGAGCTGTTTCAGAGATAATAGGAACTGCAGATGCTGGAGAATCTGAGATAACAAGGTGTAGAGCTGGATGAACACAGCAGGCCAAGCAGCATCAGAGGAGCAGGAAGACTGACGTTTCGCGCCCAAAACGTCAGCCTTCCTGCTCCTCTGATGCTGCTTGGCCTAATTGTTTCCTACGTTTGCCCCATTTCTTCAAATCAATTCATGTCCCCTTCCACAAGACGGCGGCAGAGTAGGACGCTCCGTCCATTCCTTTTTTATTCCCCTCTCGTGTTTTATTTCTATTTTGTCTTTTTCCTCTTCTGCCAGCAGCCCAGAGCAGAGTGGGAAAGGCTAGCAGGCCTGGAGCAAAGATGGCTACTGGTTGGGAACCTGTGGAACATTGTCAGGCCACGTCGAAGCCCTTACAGAAAGGCTGTAATGTCTATTTTTTTTAGCTTTATTTATTATTTTCCTAGCTCGTACTAAACGTATCTGTAATGAAGTGTAACACTTTTCTTTATTTTCTTTTTTTTTGTACCTAAGATGGTGCTGTATGTTGGTGACATTGTACACTTTTCAGTGTACTCCTATTCTATTGTAACTTGAGTACATGTGACAATAAACCAAATTCATTAATTAATTCATTCACAAGGGATCTTTTATTCCAACTTGTCCAACTTTGATTCAATGTGATCTCACATGATTGTGCTGGTCCTGCAAAGATCTCCTGACAGCAGCTTGGCACACCAAGCAATATTGACTCGAGACATCTGTATTTTCAATAAATGATGAAGTACATTTGAGGCAGTCTAAGCAGGGACTAACTTGAATGCTTCTCCCCACCTGTGACTTGGATGCCTGTGCTATTTTAGAACTAATACTCAGATGTATTTTTAAAAATTCATCTTACTTCAAGTCACTTCTGGGGGAACCATTTTAGGGAATTCCTCTCCTGCCAGGGACTATGTGCCACTCACACTCCTGCCCCTTTTCCACTGCCAGTACCTGATATCCACACCACTGCTATTCACAACCACATCCACCTAAAGAAAAATTAGAAAGGTTTCTGACGCTCACCAAGACCCCCTCTACATGAAATAAATGGTCTCTGAATTTCATTGCTAATGCTCCTACAATTAACTGTATTAAAAATGTATTGTTATTTCATCAGTTCTGTGTTATATTGCATTGTCCCTTGCATGAAGCAACACACTTTCTGCTTCAGTGGAAGCAATGACACAGGAGGTTTTGCTTCATCAATGACCTTCCCTCCATCCTAAGGTCAGAGTGGGCATGTTCTGATAATTACAGAATGCTCAACACCATTCATGAAACCTTAGATATTGAAGCAGTAAATGGTAGCATGCAGTAAAACACAGGCAAACAACCTGTTTTGGGCTGATAAGTGGCAAGTAACAGACAATGACCAATTTCAACCACCTAAGAATTGAAGAATTTAACCATCTACCTCTCACAGGCAAAAGCAATCCCATTGTTGAATGTCTCACCACCACCATCCTGAGGTTACAATTGACTGGAAATGAACTGGGCTGGTCATTTTAATGCTGTAACTAAAAGAGTAGGTCACAAGTTGGGAATTCTCTGGCAAATGACATCTCCTGAATCACTACTGTCTGTCCACCATCTAGAAGACATAAACAGGACTGTGATTACTCTCCATTTCCCAGGACGAGTGCAGCTCCAACAACAATCAAGAAGCTTGACACAATCCAGGGCAAAGAAGACCACTTGATTAGCATGGTGTCAGCAGTGTGTTCCATCTTCAAGATGCACTGAAGCAACTCACAAAGGTTTCTTTCACAGCACCTTACAAGCCTGCATTCTGTATTATGTAGGGTAGCAAATGCATGGGAACACCCCCACCTACAAGTTCCCTTCCAAGCCACAGACTATCCTGATTCAGAAATATATCACCATTCCTTCACTGTCACTGGGTCAAAATCCTGGAGCTCTGTTCCTAATGTAAAAGTGCATGTTGTTACACCATAGGACTGCAGCAGTTAAGGCAGCTGCTCACCACCATATTCTCAAGGGCAATTAGGGATGGGCAGTAAACACTTGCCCAGCCAGTAACATCCACATGTCATGAATGAAAAAAAAGGTTATGCACTTCATCTGGTGATGCATGTTGGTACTATCAGTTCCTATTAAACTAAATAACAAGCCTTTCACAAAATAATCACTATTTAGTATTCAGCTATGTCAGTAGGCTGACAAAGTTTATGCAACCCAACTGAAAAATTTGCAGCTTTAACAGTAAGGAGTCTTTTTTAATTAACAATATTGATGAGATTTCAATAAGAATTTGAAAATTTCTATCTTTTGTAACAAATTGTAAGTTCTAGAATTAGAGCTTTGTTTCTTTTAAATATTGTTCCCCACAATTATTATTCCTCTTCAATATCTCTGTGTGACTGGCACTTTTCATCTTTGGTTGAATTGAGAGAATTATTGACCTGGGTCAGAAGGGTTTGGATTAAAGGTGCTTTTTGGGCCAGATGAGTTCAGATTGAACCCAAAACACATCTAACAAGTCACTTAAACTTTGACTGAATACCATTGCCAAAAATACATAGCAACTTATAGAGAAAGCCTACCACAGCATTTGCTAACTGAACAATTAATAGGCCAGCAGCAAGCCTTCCCCTGGAATCAAGGGCCCTGGAACTGGGTCACATGTCCTGACAGTGGATAGCCAATCAAATGTCGGCAGGTCTATTGAATGGCAGCACCACTGGGGAATTGGTGGCTGGTGCTGGTATGACATGCACTTGGAGCGTAGGGTGTGGAGGTTTTCAAGCCACAGATGGAGGGAAAGGAAGGGAAGGGACTCTTGGCAAGCACCCACCACCCCCCTCCACCAAATAGCCCTCCCCAACTTTCTCCATGTTGTGTCCCCGTATATATTCTGCACAAACAGCCTTCATGTTTAACTGCGTTCTCTATTTTTGTGAGGTCTTGCATGCTTATTGAACCTGTCAAGCATCCTATCAGAATAAGTGGAATTACATAGGAATTAAAGCAGAGAAACAGGACTGTCAACTCAACTGAGCTATCTCCTGCAGGAGCCTCCTTCTACCCTACATCACCGAGCCCCGTCAGCGTAAGTCTCCAAGCCTTCACCTATTTACCTAGCTTTCCCTTAAATACACCAATTCATTCACTTCAACTAGTCCAGGTGTTTGCAAGTGCTACATTCAAGCTACTAAAATGACGAAGAGTTTGGCTTTGCTGCTATGTCTTTGGTGTTTTCATAAGTGTTTTTTCCCTGGAACTGGGGTGTATTGTGGTGATTACATCTATCCAAAAATATTTGCCAGGAGATTGTAGGAACTGCAGATGCTGGAGAATCTGAGATAACAAAGTGTGGAGCTGGATGAACACAGCAGGCCAAGCAGCATCAGAGGAGCAGGAAGGCTCCTGAAGGCTCATTTTCTGAAGAAGGGTCTAGGCCCGAAACGTCAGCCTTCCTGCTCCTCTGATACTGCTTGTGTTCATCCAGCTCTACACTTTGTTATATCTAATATTTGCCAGCAGCAGTGTTTCGTTTGTTGTAGCCTCCTAGCCTATAATTATAGGAGCTTCCGGCTTGGAAGCAAAGCAATTGGGAAATAAAGGGGTGGTGGAGAACTAAACAAGAGACTTTTACTGTAATGGTGCAAGTTGACCGTAAACGATGTTGCAAACTATTTTCTTGCACTTGTAATTGATTATATTTTGGTGAAGGAGAGATTGGGATCAGCAGCCAAGGACAGTCTCCTGAATAATACCGTCTCATTTCCCCTATTTCACAGTTAAGTTTGAAAATATGTTGGCTCTGGCATAATTGTTATTAATTCACTTTTTTCTGATTTTTCTAGATATTCAGAATCTGTTCCTTTTTATTGTACGGTACTTTTGTTTTACAAAAACTTCATTTCTAATCATGAATGCTATAATAGAGCAGAACGATAGCAACATTAAACACTGATAACACTATAGCTCCCAAATAATAATTAATAAGTTCAAAAATAATCCAGAAAAGGGGATTAGATTTGCCGAGGGTCTTAACAAGAACAGACTTGCTTGATGTTGTGTTCTGTTTTGCATTCACTGAAGGTAGTGGTCCAAAAAAGGATATTAGTATAAGTCTGATCGGGGATGACAGTTCATTTACTTCCCACATTTTATACAAAGTATTACTTTGCCAAAGTAATTTTAACCTTCCATCGTTCTGCTAGATGCATGTCTTAGCTCATTAAATATTGGGAAAATATATATTAACAGTTCATATTAAACAAATATTAGACAAAAAGATCAATAAGAATTTGTTTAGGACATTTAGCACTCATATATTCCATCCCACATAACAAAACATCTTGTAACACTTTACAAGAATAATTCCAACCACTTCTCACTCTTTATTTGATAATGTTGCACTCACAGAAAACAGTGAACTTCTGGACTGCAATTAAGACAAGCTTAATAACTTCTATTATCTCTCAATGCACTTTTTCACGTCAATTCGTCAAATAGGCTATCCATTCTATAGTAGGAGGAATTAGCAGCATTACAGCAAATATGAATGCAATTCCTCCTCTTCTAATATTCAGATCCAACAACAAAATAGCTTTGTATTTAATTAGACTTCAAAATTAATGATCCATAGACATGAAGGATGAATAATCTGATATTTAATAAATGATTATATTATCAGGCAGGGATATTCCACGCACAGAAACGTCATCATTGAAATCCTAAACTGTTGGTCGTGCAACCTTGTCAGTTTCCTGCGGCCCTCTTATTGGTTAAACAACTGGCACCATTCCAATCTGCTTGTGTATAAAAGACACTGAGCCCAGCCGAAGCAGTCAGTCTGTACATATAAGATTACCGTACCCAGGAGAAACTTAGCAAAGGAGACTTAGCAGCACCCAGAAAAAAATAAAAATGTGCCGAGGACTATCATCACTACCAAGCTGCTGCCTAGAGAGGTATGTTACTTAAGAGATTTCTGTATAAATAATACATTGAATAGTGGAGGGATACTGAAGTAAGTATTTACTTTGACTTTAAATAATGCATTCAATAGTTCAAAACTTGCTGTTGGATGTGAGTACTTCAGGATTTATTTTTTGCTGGATTAGGTTTTTTTGTAATTTAAGGTGAATTATAGATCAGGGTTGTTTTTTACATAATTGTGATATAAATTTGTGTAGTAGACTCTACTAGAGAACTCGATTTAAAATTTCCCAGAGATTAAAAATAAGCTGTCAAAATTGAAAAGAAACATACTGTAAAAGCTAATTTGTGCATTGAGTTAACTGTGACAAATGTTCCTTTAATTACCTCGGATAATGGGAAAGAATCAATAGAAAGTAATGTTAAAATTCAATTGATTTTCATCAATCAAGGACTTCAGATTCATAAGTATGTTGAAAGACCACACCAAACAATTTTTTGACTGAAACTTAAATTGTTTTTTTAGGCTGTAACTCCAACACAGCTTCATGAAGCTCGCTGCAGTGATCTTTTCATATCACTGTAATACGAGTTTGCACTTCCTCCTAATCTTTCTGAATCAAAGTTAGAACTGACCAGGGATCCCTGCAAGCACTTGAAATCTAAGATGACCATCTGTCTCTGAAGAAAAGATAGATTAATATAAAAAGTCAGAATCTAAAACATTATCCTGTCTCATTAATGCTGATAGAGCTGTTATACATTTCCTGTGTTTTATGTTGTAAATTAAAATTAATATCAAGATATGAACAACTTTAAATATCATAACTACTGTTGGATCCCTGTCAGCGGCAACATGCTAATTGTATATTGCAACTTGCTCCTGTTGCAATACAGCCAGGCTGTACTGCAGTCCATCTGTGGTGGCTATTATTTCAGAGAGTAACCACCTCAGTGAATCCAACTTAAAACATGGAACTGGTTAATAAAGAAAAGTCAACAGATCCCTTCAAAGAGCAAATTAGATGGATCATAAAGAGGAAATGACTCCCTTCAGATAATAAGATTAACAATAATGATTTAGAGCATTGGCAAACTAATTATTTTTAAAATGATGTAACTTATCTGCAATAGTCACAATCGATGTGAAAGATTTTCTTTTCCAAAAAAAAATATTTTCTACTTCCAGGGCAAAGGGGATTAAGTCTCGGTTAGGAGTTTTTCTACAGATGTCAGAGAAATCTTACCGTTCTGTTCCAGCAAACAAGAAGGAGAAAACAAATTCTAGGTGAGCACATTCGCACTGATCTAGAAGCAGAATAATTGACTATCAAAACTAATTTGCCTCTATTTTGTCAAATGCAGAATTAAGAAAACTGTTGTACTTTTATTGTTTTTTAAAATAGGCCCAACTCAGACGAAGCAAAGAAATGGAGGTACTCGCTGGATAAGATGCTTGCTCATAAATGTAAGTAGGTGTCTGTTTTTGTGCTGCCATAATGGGGGTTCAGGAAAAGGTTTTGCATTGTTATTGTGTTAAGTTGACATCTGTTAGTATAAATCAATTATAACGATTTGGTTAAAGTGCCCCAGAGGATTTTTTTTTCTAAATTATACGTCTGATGTAGCTTTATTTCTAAGTGTTTGAGCACAGACTTCAAATTTGCAAAATAACTCACCTCCAAAACAAATGACAAACTGAGAGTTGTAGCAAAGAGCAGTGTATCACAGCACATGGGCAAAAATAAATGTGGGAAATTCTTCCCCAGTACCTGAAAGACATCAAAAGTGAGATTCAGGACTTGTCAATGACCACAAGGTTAATTATTCAACCGTCCACACTTTTCATTTGCATCAATATCAACTCCTCCAGGAACTTGTCCAGCTCCCTTTGAATCTACATTCATTGAAGATGTTGGCAACATATCCCAAAGGTCACTGTTTCACTGAGGATTGAAACACCTCCTGCAAATGCTCCAGAACATGGCAGGGTGCATACAGCTTCAGACTGCAGTAAACCATTGTCTAAGAAAGATGGTATGTGAAGTGATCAGGTAGCATATAAACTCAAGAAATACACTGAATCTAATGACCAGCCCTCTGAATAACAAATTTGCATTATTGATGAAAGGAACATGATGGGATTCAGTGTCCATTGATTATTCTAATCAGAGCTTTTTGCATAGAGAAAGATCCAAGCTTGCTGTGGCAGATGACTCAACAGCCTGAGAAACTACCAGTCTGTAGACATTTCCAAACAATCCTCTCCTGTGGTTCATCTAGTCTAGACAAGTCCAAAGGAATGAAGGAAGAATACAAGGTTTTCATTTCATGCTTTCGGGCAAAGTATTTGATGGAGCCTTGGGTCTCTGAACATGCCTGGCCAAAAAGCAATATATGAGGCAGCAGCTAACAATAAGCACTGTATAGAATCTTTGAAAACCCCCGCTCACCATCAATCCTTCATGAGAAACCTCCCTCAGATCATTATCACGCATCAAAAGGCCTCCTTTTCTAATGTTGAGGTTTAAATTTTAAAACACATATAATCTGTCATGAGCTTTTGCAAATTTGAAAGCATGGAACATATTTGTTTTACCTTCAACTTCAATAGAACCACTGAAATTATCCAACAATTATAGATTGTCCCCCTTCTTTTGTCAGATGGTCTGTCTGCCTTCAGAGCATTTCTCCGTTCCGAATACAGTGAGGAGAACATTGAATTCTGGCTGGCCTGTGAAGATTACAAAAAAACCAAATCTCCTGCAAAACGAGCCTCCAAAGCAAAGAAGATTTATTTGGAATTTATAGAAACAGATGCTCCTAAAGAGGTCAGTCCTTTCATGTGTAAATGTGAACCATATGCAATGTTTGATTTTAAAACCTCTTGAAGAAAAAGTCTAGTACATTACCAAGAGCAAATTTATGATTAAAGAGGAACAATCATTGATTTTTTTTCTGCTTTCTAACTTCTGAATAGGTTAATATTGATTATGAAACAAAAGACTTCACTAAACAGCACCTGCTGAAACCCAGCCGCTCCAGCTTTGATGTGGCCCAGAAGAAGATTTATAATCTGATGGAGAAAGATTCATATGCCAGATTCCTGAGATCAGAAGTGTATCTAAACCTGATTACAGAAGTCAACAGGCAGTCCCAGACGTGAAACTGAAGGGAGTGAATCTTGGAGAGATCTTAACAGAGTAACTGATGAAAGCTGAGGCCATGAATGGAAAGCATGAAGACAAACACAGATGGAAGTTAGAGAGATATAACATTGTCGGGCAGCAGAGTTTGGATGCAAAGGGTTTTCCAAAGAATTGGAGACACAGATGTATCTATGATATTTGTGAACGCATTGCATAAGAAAGTGAAGACGTGCACTGCAGTGAGAAGTGATGGGGCATTATTTTATATTTTCACAGAAGTGTTTTTATGCTTATTGTATAAGTTATTTATTGTATTCTGTGTTATTGGTTAGATACTGTAGGAAATACAGTTTGGAAGGTATCTGTATGAGAAAAATTTGTACTGAAGTTCCTTTAGAAGACTGGTGATTGCTTCTGTAGCAGTGTCAAGCTTGTCAAGTTGAAACATTGTGAGACTAAAGCAGTATACAACCCTTCTTAAATTTGTAACACATTTTTTATGCTCAATACACCATAAAGCATGTGTTGCCATACAAGACAGCTTACGTTAATCAAATAATTTTAGAGAAAATATTTGAAAATCTTTTTACCAGAGACAGATTCAAAATGAACAGTAAAGCACTAAGTTGGAAGCATGACAATAGACAATCATGAACTTGTAAAAGGGTTAGGTCGAGGTTTTGATGGCAATTACTAATATGCTGAATGTTACTGAATTCTCAGTATATCTCAACATTGCAGCACACTCTCCTAAAAACATTTGCTATGTTGGTTACTTACAATTTCCAACCAACCATGTTCTGTCCTGATGCAGTTCAGACTCCAAACTGATACTGAAGAGTTATAATTATGTTGTACTAAAGTTCTGTCGCTAATTTATTATCTCACATTCTAATGTGCATAAATAATTTATGTTCCATTTTCTCCATTGTGAAATTACTAAGAGGAGGTGCAATAAAAACTGTTGCTCCATGTAATGGCTTGTGTTTTTTCTTTTGATACAGGCAGTTGGTAGTGGGTGTTGGGACAGGGAAGAGATCATGTTCATGAAATATACTACATGCCAAAACCATAACGGTCAACCTTGGCACAGTCAGTAACATAACTAAGTGAGAAGGCTATGGGTTCAAGCAGCACTCAGTAACATCTTGTTTCAATCATTAAATGAAGGCATCATTGAAATGACTGGCATTTATTGCCCATCCCTAGTTGCCCACAATGAGTTGTTGGTAACCCACCTTCTTGAATCGCTGCACTTAGAATGGTGCAGATACACCCATGGTGCTGTTATTTCAGAATTATCCCAGTGCAGATGGAGGCTATTTGATCCATTGTGTCCATGCCAGCTCACCAAATAGGCATCTCCAGTGCCATTCTCCTGCTTCTCCAAGTAAACCTACAAATTTTGATTTTTAAATAACCATCCAATTTCTTTTTGAATGCCTTGATTGAACCTGCCTCCACCATCCACTCAGACAGTGTGCTCCACACTTTAAGCACTCGCTACATGAAAAATCTTTTCCTCATAGCACTTTTGTTTATTTTAGCCTCATCAACTACATCAAAAAATTCCAGCAGATTATCCTTAAGAAATATTCTCTGGTTCTTCCTAATTAACCTGTGTTTGATCACGTACCTACTAATTTTGTCCAGATTTGTTATGTTTGAAAGTTTCTCAACCACCAAAGCTAAACTGACTGGTTTGTAATTGCTGGGCTTATCCAAACACGATTTTTTGATCAAGATCGTAAAGTTTGCAATTCTCCGATCCTCTAGCAGCATCCTATTTCTAAGGATTGCTGGAAAATTATTACTTGTACTCCTGTAATTTCCATTCCCGCTTCTTTTAATATCCTTGGATACATCTCACCTAATGCCTTGTCAGCTTTAAGTACAGGCAGCCTATCATCCTATATCAATTTTACATCTTTTTGGTGATTAAATTAGCTCTGCTTTCACCTGGAAAGGAATTCCAGGAGTTTTACTCGGTGACAGGGAAGGTGCAATGATATAATTTCAAGTCAGGATAATGTGCAATTTGAAGGGGAATTTGTAGGTGTACACACACCTGCTGTTCTAATTCTTCGAGCTGGGAGTGGTCATGGGTTTGGAAATTGTTGTCATTTCTGTAATGAATCTTGTAAATGGTACAAACTGTTCTGACTGTGCACTGGTCTTGATGGGAATGAATGTTTAAGATGATGGTGGATGGGGTGTTGATCGAACTGGCCTGAAAGGTGTTGAGGTGCTTAGTTTTGTTGGAACTACTTTCATCCAAGTGGAGAGCGTATCCCATTTCATTCCTGACTTATGCCTTGTAGATGGTGGCAGTGAGGTAAGATGCTGGCTGTTGATAAGTATGTTGGTAAGATTAGACAAAGTAGACTGGCAAGAGGTTTGTTTAAAGGTGCACCAGCCTGCACCAGTTGGGCCAAATGGCCTGTTTCCATGCTGTGAATTCATGCGCTAGAAAATTCCCAGCCTCTGACCTGCCCTTCAATTAAAGTATTTACGTGATTGTACAGTTCTGTTTCTGATCAATGGTCTGTTCTTCCCCAATGGTCTTGAGTATCCTTTAGCAGTAATGTCACTGAGTGATAAGTGGAGATGATTAGATTCCCTCTTGTTGTAGATGGTTGTCTGGCTCTTGTGTAATGCAAATGTTATTTTCCACTTACCTGGCCAAGCCTGAATGTTGTCCATATCATTCCATATGTCAGCATGGTCTGTTGTAAATGAGGATATATGAATGTAACTGAAAACTGTGCAATAAACAAAGAGCATCTAACCTTATCGAGGCAATCAATAAAACAGCTCAAGAAGGTTGTGGCCAGAACACACTTCTGTGGAACACCTGCAGTGACTTCCAACAACCACAACCATCTTCCTATGAATCAGGTACCACTCCAGCCAGAGGAGAGAAGCCCACACTTCCTGATTCCTATCGATGTAAATACTACTGTCACATTAGGTCAAATATTACCTTTGTAACAAAGACAGTCATTCTCCAAGTCAGGAATTTAGCTCTTTTGTCCATTTATGGAGGTAGGTGTAATGAAGCCTGGAGCTGAGTATTTCCAGTGGAACCAAGCTGAGGATCGGTGAGCAGGTTATTGGTGAATGAACAAGGTGCAGAGCTGGATGAACACA